CCGGTTGGTGCCACCAACCAGGACTAAAGGCCCTGTGCTGCCCGCGTCGCGGCACGAAAGTTTAGTCCCACCTTGCTAGCTGAGGGAGCTCGAGGGTGGTTTATAAGCCCCAGTCCCGCTGCCCTCTCGAGCTCCTCTCAAATGCAGGCTTACGGGTCTAAACTCACTATATGTGCCTGTGGGCCTATTGGGCCTGTTGCGGGCCTGAATCCTGGCACATTGTTGGGTTTCTAGTCGTATTCAGGCTGTGGTAGCCCTTTAGGTGGCACTTTTTTATTTTATTTATTTTATTTTTTGCTTTGAATTATTTATTTTCTTTTGATTTTTGCTTTTTTTATTTTTTTATTTTAGCTCAGATAATTATAATCTTTCTAATTACTTATTTATTTTCTTTTATGATATTTTTTTTGCTATTAAAGTTTGTAACAAAATTCTAATTACTTATTTATGTTCTTTTATGATAATTCTTTTTGTTTTTAATGTTTTGAACAGAATTCTAATTACTTATTTATTTTCTTTTATGATAATTCTTTTTGCTTTTAATGTTTTGAACAGAATTCTAATTACTTATTTATTTTCTTTTATGATAATCCTTTTTGCTATTAAAGTTTGTAACAAAATTCTATATAATTTTAGTTTCAATAATACTAGAGCTTTATAAAAGCTTTTTAGTTGATTCCTTCGGTACTAGTTCTAAGGCTGTTACAAAGGCATTTTATTTGGTACAGGTTTTAAGGCTGGTGCCCCACGAGCACCTTTTAGTACTGGTTCGTGCCATGAACCGGTAAAAGAGTTTTTTAGTTGATTCTTTCTGCAGCTGTTTTTTAGTCCCACCTCGCCAAGCGAGAGGCACTCGCAGCGGTTTATAAGCCCCGAGTGCAGAGACGATGCAGAAGAGGCTCAATGCTAACCTGACGTTGCTTAGCTTTAAGCCTTGAGGAATAGGGTAGACTGCACGGAGCTATGTGCAGTGCAGTTTATACTATTCCGAAAGGCTTGAACCTAATTAACGAGCATTGCGCCTCTTTTTTATTTTTAAAGACTTATTACAACTCAGAAATAAATAGAAAAAAATAAATATAGCAGAAAAAAAAACTATATAAAAAACTACTCAGAAATAAATAGAATAAAAAATAGTTGTGATTAACTTTACTAAAAAAATGAGCATAGATGCGCTTATAGATAAAATTAGACCTAAATTTATAATAAATTTCTACTAACTTCAGAGAAATTCAATATGAATTTAGGTCAAATTCCCTGTATAAGGGCATCTATTTTCATTTTAAGAGGAGCTCAACAAGGCAGAGAGGGAGGGGCTTATAAACGGGTGTGAGTGCCCTTCGGTTGGCGAGGTGGGACTAAACTCTGACCGCAATGAGGACCAACCCTTTAGTCCCGGTTCGTGCCACCAACCGGAACTAATGGGCTGCCTTTGGTCCCGGTTTGTCCCACCAACCGGGGCCAATGGGGGTGAGCCAGGAGCGAGGCACATTGGTCCCGGTTCGTCCCACCAACCGGGACCAAAAGGTCCAGACGAACCGGGATCAATGGCCCACATGGCCCGGCCGGCCCCTGGGGCTCACGAACCAGGTCCAATGCCACCATTGGTCCCGGTTCTGGACTGAACCGGGACTAATGGGCTGACCCGGCCTGGAGCATTGCCCCCTTTTCTACTAGTGTTAAAAGAACACCTAAAACGGGGCAAGAATCCTCTCGCCAGCAAGTGTCGAGGTCCACCGCGCCTTCATGACCCTAAGGCCACCGGAGACGAGGCGGGCCAGCGGCGGCACTGGCAGGAGGCAGAAAATCCCTGATCGTGTGGGCAAGAGGTGAAAGGGTATGTCTTTTGTGACCCTCTTTAGTTCAGCTAAATGAAGTAAATTTTTATTTGGTTGAGCTAAGGTGGGTACGAGGGTACGATCACAAATTAGAATCCCAAGACATGTTCACCCGATGCACTGCTTATGTTTGTTGAAATATATTGCCCACATCTCTCTATCAGTTCGGACTTTTGAAGCAACTGGTTGGAGCATGAATTCAATATGGTACTAGAGCCAAGAGGCCTTGAGTTCAAGACCCTGCCAACGTGTCATGACCGAACTACCCCCAAAGAGGAGGAGGACTGTGGCGGGTTGGACAACTCCGGCAATGCGCACATCCGGCTTAATCTATTTTGCGTATTCGAGCGGTATTTCCGCGACAAAGACGCCAAGGACACCGGCAGCGGTATTTCCGCGACAAAGACACCAAGGACGCCGGCAATGGCAGGGGCAGTCGTGGATGATATTTGTCCATAGCTTATTATGTATGTCGACCATGCCAAATTTTGATAGTCCGATGGCATGTATTGATGTAATAGCCCTGGATGATATTTGTCCATAGCTTATTATGTATGTCGACCATACCAAATTTTGATAGTCCGGTGACATGTATTAATATAATAGCCGTGGATGATCTTTGTCCATAGCTTATTATGTATGTAGGTCAATGCCTTTTTTTGATTCCACAACCGGGACCTCATTTAGCAAACCCCAAACCCATACAACCACATGCATCCTACTACCTCTACGATCATCCACGACTACTACATCAATACATGCCATCAGACTACCAAAAAATGGCATTGACCTACATACAGGAAACTGATGAGCTATATGCGGGATGCTCTAATAAACCCGGACGGACGAATGAATTAGTAAGGGGCAAGGGGCTTCTTTGATTCAAAAGGATTGCAAAAGACCACTTCCAGAACACAGAAATGTGAAAACCTAAGAATTGGTTGTTCTCAGCAATCCTGTAAAAAGCTCTTTCTCAGGTTCCAAATAGAAAACGACAAGCGGAACTTTTGTGTGTTATGGAAAGGGAAAAAAATCAGAAATGTTTGTCATGGCATGTTGAACATACATGGAGAAAAAAAAAAGAGAGCAGAGAAAACACTTTACACCGACGAGATTATCATGGAGAGTGCACACACAGCCCAAGTGTTGAGGGGTTCCTTTCAGTGTGTCTTCTCGAGGTAGGTATCTTATTAGTTATTATTAACATCCGAGAAACCGGTAGTCAACACACTGGATCGCGTCCATCCAAGAACCCGTGACGCGTTACCAAACTGAATAATGTTGTGAGCACTGAGCAGAACAACAGTCTCCTAAAAAGGCAGAACAAAAGTTGATAGGGACAGAGAAAAGAACTGTTGGACCCGGCCGGTTAACTGTGTCAGTGTGTCTGCGTGTGTAACAACAGGCAACTTGCCCTCCAAAAGTCGTGCTAATCGGAGTCAGATTGACAGACAGGAGAAGCTTCCAAACAGGAACATGCTAGGAAGTTCACTGATCACCAAGTAATTCAGACCTGTGAGCATGGAGGCGCCCTCCCGTGACAAGTAGGCTAAGGACTAGTCAAGCAGATCGGTCGGTCGGTCGAACCAGCCTCTCCAATAATTAACCAGAGCAAGCAAAGTTACTTTATTATTAAGCCGGATCTGATCTCGCGGCCAATGGCCATGCATGCGACCTCCGCGCCCACCGGCAAGGCGCGGCCGCGTCGCGCTCCGCCGTGTCGCGTCCCGCCGACTGGGCGGATCAATAGCGCCGATTTACAGCTAGTATCGCACGCCCGTTTTGTCGGCGAGCCCTCCCTCATGCGCCGTGCCGTCTGGTAGTACAGAGCGGCCGATGCAATGCAATAGTCCAATAATCATGGCCGGGTTGGACCCTGAATCCAGTGATGTGATGCGATGCGATCTTGTGTTGTTAGTACTAGATGGGAACGGTGACGAGAGCCGGATCGGCGGAGGCAGATGATGATGAACCTACTTGCTGTTGGATGACTCCACCGGTTTGGGTCAGATAATTAGGTGTAGACCTTTTTCATCACTCGATTGGCTCAGTTCAGAAATGAGATAGAAGTGAAAAGCAATTATTTGCCTCCGACTTCTCAGCGCAGGAATGTTGTTCCCGAACAAGAAATGATGAGCCAGTGTTGCCAGCATCGGCAAACACTTGCACAGAAAAGTGAGGCCGCCGTGACAGGAAAATGTTACGAACTGGTACTTGTTAATACCGTGTTCAGAGGCCGGGAATTTTCTTGTAATAACTCCTGAAACCCCTGGTCACAACTCACCCCGGTTGCTCGCAAATTGCCATCGGCGTCACCGCGTCAGGACATCGGTTCGATGATAACAACAAAACATGAATAATGGGCATCCGTTGCAGCTACCCTTCCCTGTCCCACACCCGTACCAAAGGGACCGTTAGACACCGAACAAAAGGACTGCCAACAGACGAAACGTGATGCAGACCGGACATGAAGCACAAGTGCAAGCCAAGTATACTTATGCTATAGCAGGATGAATAAGACGGACGGGTACCCAGATCTCGCTGATTTTTACAATCTTAATACCCAAGGGGCGGCTAGTGAAGTGCGGCCATGGAAGGCTCAAAAGCTAGAATCCAAGAGAGCTCAGGGACGGACAAAAGGGCAAGGAAATGTGCACGCTTGGGACGGATGGATGGATGGTGTGTTCGACGACGTGGGGTTAACAGCCCGTCGAGCTTAGACTCTCTGGATGATCACCGAGTTGGCGACGCCGGCTTCCTCGATGGTCTTGGTCGCGTCGTCGAGCGGCTTAGGGGGGAACCCGACCTGCAACGTGTAGTCGCTTGTTTCTCCTGGCCTTGTTGTGTAGATGAACGCCCGCACGTCACTGATCGTGTGGCTTGTGTTGAAGCGCCCAACCACACGGCTGCCGTCGGCAAACCTGATCTGGAGAGAGGTTGACGGCAAAGAATCGTCCACTGTGATAGTCTTGGGTGCGGTAGTGGTCGCAGTGCTAGAAGCAGAAGCCGCAAGAGAGATACCCGAAGGAGCAGAGTTTTCAGAAGGTGCCGCGAGAATTCTCCCCCCTCCTTGAAATGGGGCAGGGCGCTTGACTGGCTCCTGTGTTCAGGTATCGATCATTATTGGGACGGCAACCATTTAAGAAACATATGAAGCGCTACAGAAATTACATGATACTTACAGGACATTTTTCTTCTTTACGGATAAGATTTACGTTCACCTTAGACATCCCATCAGCCGGCGCAAGCTCAGTTGGGCATTCAGACTTCATGATGCTCTAGGGAAACAGAAAAAATCAAAAGATAGATAAGTGGATTACTTGCATTCAATTCAGCACAAGCAGATATAACAACAGCAACATGTGACAGAATAAAAGAACAAATGCATGTTCCACACACTTTATAACATAGCCGAACATAAAGTGTTACGAGTAAGACCAACAGATTCAATCAGGCGATAAGCAACAACAAAGGAGTTCGGACAAAATATACTCCCTCCGTTCCTAAATATAAGTCCTTTTAGAGATTCCAATGCGGACTACATACAGAGCAAAATACATGAATCTACACTCTAAAATACGTCTATATACATCTGAATGTAGTCCGTATTGAAATCTCTAAAAAGACTTGTATATTAGGGAATGGAGGGAGTAGCTGATAAAGCTACCTATTTTTTTCCCTTTGCCTATTTCATCAAGAAATCAGGATGCCTTGATATGCAGAATTATTTTACTCGGCAAGCTACTGCAATACACTGATAACTTGCTACGAAACAAGTTATTGGACAGGAAATATGTGTAACTAATGGCAAAAAAAATTGCCTAACGACTAACACAACCCTGGCTTATGTATGTATTAACTGGGACCATTGCAGAAATAAGAGGAACCAAGAGACACCATCACTGAAGCGAGTTAGTTTCTTGAATACTCACGAATAAGTGTACATTTGTCATTCAAAGTTTGTCCACAAAAGAGTGTACTTCTATCTTTCAAATGCACTTTAAAGTGAAAAAAATGTTTCTCTATCATCGCACGGTAATCAAAACCTATAACATTCACCACATGGTCTCCTCACTTTCTGCATGCACTTGGCTCATTGGGGTGGGGTAATTAAAGAGAAGAGAGATGGTGGCTTGCACTTCCCAATGCATTTTTTACTTCACTCCGTAATCTGTCCTAAAATTTCTATATGTACACTTATTCGTGGACGGAGGGAGTACCAGCTAAAAAATATTACGTCTAACAACATGGAAAGAGGTCACTCAGACACTATTTCAATTAGCTAAATGCTCATGCGCTGGTACAGATATATTTTTTGGCTATATATTGTCGGTTGTTTAAACACTTGTGATATAATCCATGAATTTGCACAAAATTAATAAATATTATCTCAAAACATACATTAGTCGAATCAAGCATATGTACATCCTCCATAAAATGGTTGACACCTGTGGTGATTCCTAATAACTTTTAAGCGGTGAATGGACCGCTGCCAACTCAGATCTTTATGAGTAAAAGATTAACCATTATTATGCTATATTGCACACATAATCATCAGCATGTAATGGCAAAAGGTTCAAGACAGAACTATCACTCCATGTTGTAAACAGAAGGGTGAACATAAAGCATTATAAAAGTAAAAGAAATAGCAAAAAGCATATATCAATTCACGAGACAGATATAACAACCAGTAGTGCATATACACTCAGTTGCACACATCAGAGTTCTTTTTACCTCTAAAAAGGCTGCATGCTCTGGGTCGTTGAAACTTCTGAGTGGACCGTCGTCTACTGTGAACCCATCACTCCAGAAGTAGATGTTGTGAACAATTTCCTCTGGTGGCTGTGGTGTGTCAGGCTGTACAGTTTCACCTGTTAGAAGTCTGCTAGTCCCAGGAAAGCTCCTTGAACTAGAAGATTGCCGGCGAGCTGGGCCTTGCTTAGCTCCCTTCCTCTTAGCTTGCTTAAAAACCTCATCCGCAACATTTTTGCGTTTGGATCGATCTCTAACAACCATTCCACTGAACAAAGTAATATGAAGCCTATTAAAAATATAGAAGTAGAAAGGCTGCACAGCATACAATTTATAAGAGCCTTCACTGCACATCATCTATGGATCTAACTATGATCTTTATCATGTTATCACTGATACAATGATATCTAAATGTGTATGACACCCAAGGCCAATCAGTCAGGACTAACTTCCTGGTAAGTTCAAGGAAGAGGAAGTGGCAAGCTATTCCAAGAAGTGACCAAGTCAGGCCAATTTAAATCTCCATGTAATCACATTTTACATAACATCATGGCAGAAGATATAAAAATAAATATTTAATTCTTAGTTTGAGACAGTTCTTTTGGGTGGTTCCTAGATTTTTAAGGGCCCTGGATGCATTCTTGCCTATGTTTTCTGTAGGTTTGGGATAAAGCCTAGAATGTAATCCATACTAATCACCACAAAAAATGAGCAGGTAAAACCACGATCCATGCCTGCTGAGAAGTGGCCTCCAAGTAGTCGAAGAATAGTTTGTTGCAGAAGATATATTTATGAACAGAAGAACATGTGAAATCGAAGGTGTTTTTCTAATCATGGAATCAATTTTAAGTTTCCATCTAGTTACCAGCATTAACCAGCCTGGAATCAACCTGGTTCCACTAGATTCTATAAATTGGCTGATGAATAATCACCACGAATAAGTCCAAGCCCATGTCGTTTTTTCATTCCATATGCCTTTGCTAACATATGATAAAACACTGAAATTATGGCCATAGGGATTATGCCTAACCAAAACCCATCAGAAATAACCCAAATTTAGTTGAACATGCCAAATCAACAATAAGAAACAAAATAACTAGGTAACCAACAAGTTTACCAATTACTAGAGCTCACGCATATTCTCGCATCCTTGCCAACTAGCTGACCCCATAACAATATCCAGAGATTCATCTCTGATAATAAAAAAAACAGGGCAATCGTTTCTAACTCTCCATGTTAAGATTTCCTTCTTAATTACACAAACTTCTTACTATCACAACTTTATGAACATATCATATTACGGAGAACCAGTTCTCAGTACTGGAAAGTAGCCTAGTAAGTTATATCAGATATCCAAGAACTTTTTGTCCATGGTGCTAAGTAAGATTTCTATAGCACTTCTATAATAAGAACAGACAGGTAAATTTAAGGACTACAGCTGTACCAGAAAGTCACACCAGCAATTGTAAAACGTAAGTTGCTCGCAACTAAAATACCCAAATGCTGGATAACTCTACCAACTAAATTGATCCACACACAATCCTCACAAAGGATTTAAACTTATTGGTATGCTGTAAAGATACAGGAAAATTTTAAAGAGTTTTGTTGCCAGTGATTGAACTTCGAACTCAAATCACAAGTCTAGAGAAACGCTACCTTGACAAACACAAACCAGTAATGCCATATCAATATACACAAACCCGTACTCTATGCAGGGACACTGCATAAGTATTGCAAAGATTGCAAACATAGATCAGCAATTTGTGGCTACTAATACTCCCTCCGTCCAAAAATACTTGTCATCAAAATGGACAAAAAAGGATGCATCTAGAACTAAAATGCATCTAGATACATCCCTTTTGATTCATTTTGATGACAAGTATTTTCTGACCGAGGGAGTACCAAGGAACAGATAAGGTTGTCTAGAAGAACAACATTTAACTCTCATGCCATCCCAACGATTTGGCGTTCACACAGATTCCATTATTGTATCTATACAAGACCTAGGGCCCCAGGCATTCGCCAAAATAATGTTAGCAGAACCGAACGCTATCCATAAATTCACAAGAGTATGGATACTAATAATGAGTAAACGTGAAAGCACCCAGCAATTTTAGCACGTTTAGTTAGCTCCCTCTCACCACAAATCCAGCGGCCCCTCAATTCGCAGCGACCCCCCTGGATCACAAAATTAGGCCAAAAACAACGCAACCTAAAACCCTAGAAATGAGTTGCCTCTGCGATCTAGCTAGAAATGAAGCAAGCATCGCAAAACCCTGGGATGCAGGTAGCACTGACCTCCTCTCGCCGCCGGTGTACAACTCAGGGGGTGGCGCCCACTCGTCGTCGTCGTCGTCCTCGTCTTCGTCCGACCCCGCGCGCCCCTTGCCACCTCCGAGATCGGAGAGCGTCCTCACAGTCCCCCTCCCACTCGCACCCCCGCTCCCGCCCCGCGCTTGGTGGCTCCTCTTCTGCCTCTTCGCGGGCCTCCTCCTCCGCTCATCTGCCGCCGCAGACGCGGCGGCGAGGGCGGCATCCTCGTCGTCGTCCTCGTCGCCGCCGCCCACGTAGTCCTCGTCGCCCTCATCCTTGTCGCCGACGCCCAAGTAGTCCTCGTCCTCGGAGTCCGCGCCATCGACAGCGGCTGGGACGGGTGGCGGGGGCTGGGGTGCCGGATCGGGGCCATCGGCGTCGACCTCCGTGTTGTCGTAGAAGGAGCGAACGGCGGCCTCGAGGGCCCAGTTGTGGCCCTCGAGAAAGAAGGCCGCCTCGTCGGGGGTCGCCGAGGTGACGGCGCAGAACGACTCCACCAGAGACTGCGCCTCCGCGGCCGGCGGCGCGTGGGTGGCATCTCCGGCGGCCATCTCGGCTGCGGCGGCCGTGTGTCTGGCTTGGAAGGCTTTGGGAGGAAGCCTTCTCGTCTCGTTTGCCTCTCCCTTTTGACCGCGTCTGGCCATTTGGGCCGTCACGCCGCGATGGGCTACCGACTTCGAGATTTTCTGTTTGGGCTTTGAGTTTGGAGAAGCTGTTGTTTGTTTAGCCCGTTAGTATCTTGAATTTTGTTGGCAGACACAACTTTTAGTCCCACCTCGCCTTATTTAGTTCGCATACACGGGAATAAAAGGACTGCTCTTGCAACACTGTCGCTGGGCTTTGTCGCGTTAGCCTGTCACCCAAGCTCATTTGTGGGGGAGCAAAAGTTAGTCACAGATCTTGCTGGGCCTTGTGGCTCGGGGGCCTGTTACCCAAGAACATTTGTGGGGGAGCAATAAGTAATCTGTGCACTAACTTTTTAATATTCTACTATATACTCCCTCCTTCCCAAAATATAAGGCACGGTTTGACTTTTCTAGTCTTCGTTGCACAACTTTGACTATATTTTTTATGTATTATATGTCTATAAAATTATTATATATACATATGAAATAAAATTGCTTTGCAAGACAAATATAGCAATGTCATTTATACATGTTCAATCCATATACTTTGATATATATTAGTGGTCAAAGTTGTGCATCAAAGACCGTAAAAAGTCAATCGCGCCTTATATTTTGGGAAGGAGGGAGTACATTTTAATTGAATTTTTTATGGTTTACTAAAGCATATCTAGATATGCACTAGGTATTGCCCTTCTCTTTTCAAAACATGGACTTTCGATATAATTTTTATCTATTAAGCATGTTTTTTTCTTTACAAAGCATCTCTAATTTTTATGTTGCCCTCTAGCAAGATAAATATTAACTTTAATTATCATTATAATGTAGAATCAAATTTCTGCATGATGGTTTTCTTATCACGACGGTGATTTATCATGTGCAGGACGAACAGATCCATCAAATTAAGAAAGGACGAGCAATTTAGGCATCTTGTTTAACCTCGACGCTTTAAGTTATTAGGTTCCATGTTTCTCGCTTGCTTGATGTAGCATGGAGCTTTAAATATGGAGAACCTAGTGAGTGATGCACTATATTGATTTGACTTGTGATGCTTCGATGTGGCATATATAAAGGATTTTTGGTCCCAGATGTGTGTCATGCAATTCAGTTTACGCTCGATATCGATTACAAGACATTTGCCTTGTTACCTATTGCTCGAGACTGCTAGGGCAACTCCAGATTTTGGAAATGCTCACCATCCTATAAGCATGAGTATTTCTTTTAAAACTACACTTCGTAAAAATATAAAAAAATAGCCCATTTTATGTAGTTTCACAATCAATTCGTCAATAAAATACAGAACTATGCATTTAGGATTCCGACAAAACATGAGTGGCTCACTTGTTATTGATGCAATAATGTATAGATGATGATCCACAAATGTAAGGGGTCATAACACAAATTTATTCATTCAACACAAAAGAGCCAAAGAGTATTTAAAAACTACAGCAGTTAGCAATTGAGTTGTCAATTAAACCACACATGAAACAAATGCTTGTTTGAAAGAATTATTACTACCGATGACAATACGGTTGTCGGCGTTCTGGAAGGGGGTCCCTTGACTTGCCTGCCTGCGGCCTGCGGCGTGGCTCAAGGGGCGGCCCAGCATGGTCCATCTTCATCAGCACGAGCTCAAGACCCTCGCGAGGGGCCAAGCCTCGCGGGGTGGACGACAGGAAGCTTCCTCAGGCACGGCCTCGTCAGGCTGGCTCGCGAGGAGGCGGAGAGATCAAGGCGGGGTACCTCACGAGGTGCCCATGACGCAAGCCATGACGACCAAGGGCGCCAGGCGGGCGCCAGCCCGCACAGTGTCCTCCTTTCCTCTTTGGTGCAAAGGGAGCAAGCGCATGCGAGAGCATCAAGCAAAGGCATCCGTTTCGGTGCAACAAGACCAAGACCGTCGCAACGGCAGGAAGGAAGTCATTGTAGAGCCCAAGCCGGCGTCACTACCAGAGCCTTTGACAGGCGGGGACCAACTTTAGTCAGGATAAATGTACTAGATATTCCCCTTCAAAATGGCCAATTGTTGGCGCCCTTCCCGCTCAATATTTGGGAAGAGGCCTAGGGCCTTTGCCTATAAATAGGACTAGCTACCCACAAGATAGGGGGGAGGATCATCACGTTGAAACCAGCAGAGAGAGAGAGAGCGACTGAACTCCCCTAGCAGTTCATCGCACCAGCCAAGAACAGACCCTCGCGAGGCTGTTCTTTCTTATATTGTTCATCATCAGCCCCTGAGGCAATCCACACACCATAAACTAGAGTAGGATATTACACCACAAATGGTGGCCCGAACTAGTATAAACCCTGTGTCTCTTGTGTTGTTCCTTTCATAGCTTAGACCCTAGCGAGGCGGTGAGGTGCAGGTAGGTAGAGGGCGAGATCTCCGCGCGCACCCCAGTGTTCAAACCTAGAGGGTCTGCCGGAACCCGAAATCCGACATTTGGCGCGCCAGGTAGGGGTGCGCCGGAGCTTTCCCTTCTGTCGACCCGCTCTTCGATGACACCGCGGCTCACCCTGCGATGAGCAGCGCGCCGCCCGCTCCGGTCGCCAGTGCTAGCGCGGGGGCCAAGGGGCCCCGAGCCTTGGCCCCAACCTTGCGACAGGTGCGGTGGCCGGACAAGTTCAAGCCAGCGGCGCCGCCGCGCTACAACGGCACAACTGATCCACTGGCCTTCCTGCTGGTGTACGAGGAGGCCATCCTCGGGGCAGCAGGAGATGACGGGGCCATGGCTAACTGGCTTCTCATGGCCCTCACCGATGCCCCGCGCATGTGGCTGCTCCACCTGCCAGCGGCTTCCGTGGCCTCTTGGGAAGAGCTGCGCAACCTCTTCCTCGCCCAGCACGCTTTGCCGGCGCCCCCGGTCGTCGCGGCCCTCCTGGGCGGCTCGCAGGCGCCACCTTCAGGCCGCCGCGTCAAGCCATTCGTTCGCCAGGTCGGCGGTACTTCCACGCGGCAGGGGCTTCCTCAGGTCGGTCGGCGCCCAAGGCCGATTTGGCCTTCAGCTTGGAGGACCACCCCTCCAACTCAGCCTGCTCGGACGCGCTCCCGATGCTGTGCACCCCCACCATCTGCCAGGTGGCCGTCACCAGGACTCTCATCGACGGCGGCGCGGGCCTCAGCGTGCTCTCGATTGAAGCCTTTAGCCTCCTTCACATACCACCGGAGCGGCTTCAGCCCAGCCAGCCCTTCTTAGGCGTCGGGGGCGGGTCATCCAGCTCCCTGGGGCAGATCCGTCTCCCGGTAACCTTCGGCACCTACGACAATTTCCGCACGGAGCTAATCGACTTCGACATCGCCCCCATCGGCCTCCCATACAACGCCATCCTCGGCTACCCGGCGCTGGCCCGATTCATGGTCGCGACTCACCCAGCGTACAACCTCATGAAAATGCACGGGAGCAGCGGCGTCCTCACCGTGTCCGGAGACACCGGAGATGCGTTGCGAGTGCTCAAGCTCGCCTTCAAGGCGGCGGTGGCGGCACAGCCTGCTGACTCGGACGCCCCTGAGCCCAAGGGGGCTGCGCCAGCCAAGAAGAAGCAGTTGTTCACCCAAGACAAGGCATAAACTAAGCAGATACTGGTCGACGAGGACGGATCCACTGACGCCACCTTCACCATAGGCGCCAACCTTGAGCCCGAGCAGGAGGAGACCCTGGTCAAGTTCCTGCGCGTGAACAAGAAGGTATTCGCATGGGAGCCCAATCAGCTGGCAGGGATCCCTAGAGGCGTAATCGAGCACCACCTCAATGTGTGCCCCAATGTCCGCCCCGTGAAGCAGAAGGCAAGGCGGCAGTCCACGGAAAAGCGGGCTTTCATCATCCAAGAGACCCGCAAGTTGGAAGCTGCAGGGGTCATTCGCGAGGTCCGATACCCGGATTGGTTGGCCAACCCAGTCGTCGTGCCAAAGAAAGGGGGGAAGGAACGTATGTGTGTCGACTTCACCAACCTCAACAAAGTCTGCCCGCAAGATCCGTTTCCGCTCCCCCGCATCGATCAGATCGTCGATTCCACCACCGAGTGCGACCTGTTATGTTTCTTGGATGCCTTCTCTGGGTATCACCAGATCAAGATGGCGGTAGAAGATGTGGAAAAAACGGCTTTCCTGACCCCGTGTGGGGTGTACTGCTACACATGCATGCCGTTCGGGCTGCGCCATGCAGGGGCGACCTTTCAGCGGCTGATGCACATCACCTTGGGCCCGCAGCTCGGTAAGAATGTTGAGGCTTACGTCGATGATATTGTGGTGAAGTCTCGTGAGGCCAAGACCCTGATACAAGACCTAGAGGAAACCTTCGCAAGCCTCAACGTTGTGAGCCTGCGGCTCAACCCAGAGAAGTGTGTGTTTGGGGTCCCCTCAGGCAAGCTCTTGGGCTTCCTCGTATCCCACCGAGGCATCGAAGCTAACCCAGAAAAGGTCAAGGTGGTCGAGGACATGAGCCCGCCAAAGACCCTCAGAGAAATGCAGAAGCTCACTGGGCGCGTGACAGCACTAGGACGCTTCATCTCCAAGTTGGGGGAGCGAGCGCTGCCTTTCTTCCAGCTGATGAAGAAAAAGGGACCCTTTGAATGGACTGAAGAGGCCGACAAGGCGTTCCAAGATCTCAAGAGGTACCTAACCAGCCCTCCGGTAATGGTGGCCCCGCACCCTCAGGAACCCCTGGTGCTCTACCTTGCAGCCACTCCCTACTCCGCCAGCACAGCCCTGGTGGCGGTTAGGGAGGAGCGTCGGACCAAAGCCGCGGCAGCTGCCTGGATCGAGGCGAAGCATGATCAAGGAAGACCCACAGAGACCACTACCACAGCCAAGAAGGATCAGCCGCCGTAGGGTAACGCACTCGGGACAGCGGAGACCCCTCCCCCCCGCGACCAGCCGCTGGAGGCTCCCCTGTCTCAGGAGGCGCCACGGTCTCCGGAGGGCGCTATCGATACCAGCATTCCCAACCTCGTTGAACACCCTGTGTACTTCGTCAGCACAGTGTTGCGGGACGCAAGGGCGCGGTACCCCATGCCTCAGAAAC